TCAGGATTTTGTTCTAACAAAGACTGTTGAGTCCAGCAGTGAAATCAGTCCCAGGGAAAATCCCCTTCTTTGGTTTCTGGCTGCAAAGGCTGCAGCAGTCACTGTGCTGAGTCAGGGAGGAAAAGGCGATGGCACAGGTGGGGATCAGGCACTGATGCTAATCAAGCCTTTCATGTGCAGTGTTTCCCCTTTGTCTTGATTTGATCAGAGAGGATTCCCCAAGGAGGCCCTGGGAAGGGGAAGCATAGGAGAGTTTTAGGAAGAGGCTTTACAATGACGCTACAGGTCAGTGCAGAAACAGCTATGTCTGAGACATGCGGCTATTTGAGAGCGACATGTAGACAGACACGGATATCTGGGAGTGCCTCTTTCTTGGCGGACCAGTAATGCTCTGCACTAGATTCAGGTTCCCGTCCCAAGCCCCAGCTCATGCTCCCCAAATGACAGCAGCCAGGGTCACTGTGGACATGCCAACAGGGTTTTGTCCCTCATCACTGGCCAGTTCAGAATATCTTTCTGCATCCCACGGGCCGGGGCCTCATGGAAAGCTCCCTCCTCTGGGGAAGGACTTGAAGAAAGGGGAAATTATACTCTGAAGCACCGAAGAGACCAGTGGAGAGGGGAGAAGGGGGAAATACCAAATATATTTACCTATCCTTTTATATGTCCCCATGACCCATTGCTGCTGTAAAGGACCATGCATCCCAGTAAGGGGTTAAGGGCTGTTTACATGAGAAAGTTATACTGAAATAACATGAACTGGCCTTTAAACTGATAGTGTTAAACCAAAGGCTGTATGCGCACTTTTATTGTGGTGTAAGAATGGCTTATATTGGTTTAATTAAACTTGTTCCAAATCAACTTAAGCTTAATAGTATCCCATCCTACAGCAAAATGGGTAGTTTGTGGGGAAAAAATTCGGTCTGAACATGCAGTTTGTCAAAATCAAAACATTTTGCAAGAACATGTCAAATTTCACTGAAATTTTCAAAGGGAACAATTTTGACTTTCTTGTTTTGTTTCAGTGATGTCAACCATGTCATTCTGATAAAGTAAAAATGGTTTGTTTCAGTGTTTATTACAATAAAACATTTGTTTTAACATTACATTTCATACCCCACATAATCTATTAGATTTAATGTTTCAGTATAACATAAAAGTCTAAATTCAATGTTCTGACATTACTGAAACAAAACACTTCAATGATACCAAATGGAAATGTTTTGATTTTTTTCATTCCATGGGAAATTTCAATATTTTGGCTTTTTGTTCCAATTTGGAATTATATTTTTTAAATTTCAGAATTTCCCATGGAATGGAAATTCCGCCTTCTGACAAGCTCGAGAAATAAGCATGTCTCCTCAGCCTTTTGCACAGCTTTAACTATATTGGTTTAAATTCTCAACTCACACAATAGCAATGCAACTTTCTTGTGTAGTTAAGATCCTGTCATGTGAGTCATGCTTCTGAAGTGAAGGGTACGCTCATCCCTGCTGTTAGCCAAGTCATATCTCAGCTTCCAGCTGTTGTATCTCTGATACAGGCAGTTTAAATTCCCCTTTAGTGCTCAGACACCAAGCGATTACATGAGTCATAGTTACAAATAAAGTTGCAGGGAATCTCAGCAAATCTTCCAATGACCTTGGGCTAGGTCAGGGGTGGGCAAACTTTTTGGCCCGAGGGCCACATCGGGGTTGCAGAACTATATGGAGGGCCCCCTATAGGGGGTGGGGTCCCTGGGGGGCAGTTAGGGGCCTCCCGGGATCCCCTGCCCCTAACTGCTCCCCGGGACCCCACCCCCTATCCAACCCCCCCTTCTCCCTGTGCCCTGACTGCCCCAACCCCTATCCACACCCCCACCCCCTGACAGGCCCCCTGGGACTCCCACGCCTATCCAACCGCTCCCTGCTCCCTGTCCCGACTGCCCCCCCAGAACCCCTGTCCCCTGACTCCCCCAACCCCTATCCACACCCCCGCTCCCTAACAGGCCCCACGCCTATCCAGCCCTCCCTGTTCCCCATTCCCTGACCGCCCCTTGCCAGAACCTCAGCCCCATCCAACCACTCCCTGTCCCCTGACTGCCCCCCGGGACTCCCCGCCCCCCGCCCCCTTACCATGCCAGAGCCAGCACGCTGCCCCGCTGCCAGGCAGGAGCGGCGTGCCAGAGCGCTGTCAGCGCAGCAACTGAGGCTCAGGGGCCAGGCAGGACAGTCCCACGGGCCGGATGTGGCCCACGGGCTGGGCTAGGTAGTGGGTTCATTGTCATTTCAGGTTCTGAAACAAATACTTCTCGTTGTTCTAGTCACAGCCTGCCGGGTTCAGTTGGATCATTGAGTATCAAGGCCTTGGGCCCTCAGCAGAACCAGCCTTAGCGTTTTGAGAGGCGGGCCTGAAAAACTGTGTTGTTTACCATCCTGCACCTCCACCAGTCAAAACTGATTCCTGGCCACCTTGATCACATTGCTCTGCACAGGCCTGGTGTCAAGGTTCTGGGCCTGGTCACCCCACATTTAGCTGACTCCATTTACATATGAACTGTGTGTGTGAATATTTCACTCCCCACACCAGCCTCCTGCTGCAGAAATAGGGCCCAGCTGCTTGTTCCTTTCAGTCTTAGTGACTGGTCTACATTGCTTTGTGTCAATGACACGCTGAAGGGTCTTCACAAGGGGAAGGGCTACAAATTTATGTAAGCAGAGTCTGAATGAGCTCTCCCCTGACATCTAGTGGTGAGCTGTGGAAAAGGACTTCAGGAGCTGCTCTCGTTTGCATGGACACACCCACCCTGCCTAGGTGCTCAGCATGATGGGATTGCTTGCCCAAATGATCACTTGTGGCTGGTGTTGGATCCCCAGTCTCCTTGTTATTGGGGCTAGCCTCCCCGGCCGGGAGCTCAGGGGCCAGGCAGGACAGTCCCACAGGCCGGATGTGGCCCGCAGGCCGTAGTTTGCCCACCTCTGGGCTAGGAAGTGGGTTCATTGTCATATCAGGTTCTGAAACAAATACTTCTTGTTGCTCTAGATTGTTATCCTTGTTATGTGAACCGAGGGCAGCAGAACTGTACCTGACATATCCGGATGGAGAGACTCACCCTCAACGTAATGGCAGTCGCTAGGCAGGGGACATGGGTTCCAAAGCCCAATGAATTGAGAGGGGGTTGGGATAGTTGTACTTGGTAGAGTGGGCCTTGTTTAAGGGTCTTAAAAACCATCTGACCCTTTCTCTTTCCACTGTAAAATAAAAGAGCTAATTTAGGCTCAGCTGAGAGTCTTGTTACATGCTGCAGAGCTGAAATCAGTGATACATAGGTCTAAGTATTAGATCTACTTTGGGACAGTGTCTCTATTGCAAGAAACTGCCTAGTGTGCACCAGCAGTGAAGCTCCCCCACTAACAGCTGAAATCACTGAGAGGTGTGTTAAGTGGGGGGGCCTGAAGACATCATGGGCAGCTGGGCAGCTGGTGGAGAGGCACGGCCAGCAGGGTGGTTGGTGGAAAGAAGTGGCCAGCAGGATGGCTGGTGGAGAGGGCCAGAGCAAAGTCCCACAGAGATGCATGGCAATTGGCCGTTGGGGCAACGAGTGAGTGCCCGAGCAGCAGAGCATGTAAGGTGCCTCCTTACCCCCCATTCCACCCAGGGTGGAAGGTGAACTCTGCGGATGAACCTCTGAACTCTGGGGCTGCACTGGCCAAAGACAACAACTGTGAGGGGGGTGCAGAAAAGAGACGGGCAAGTTAAAGGAACTTTTGGGTTGCTGGACTTAAGAACTTGAAGTGAAAAGGACACTGCCCAACTTACTTGGGGTGGGTCTTTTGCTTATGGTTTATGTTTATGAACCCTAGTTGCGGTGTTTTCCCAAATTAATGCTGAGTTACTTCCCTCCTTTTATTAAAAGTTTTTGCTACACTCAGACTCTGTGCTTGTAAGAGGGGAAGTATTGCCCCTTAGAGGCTCCCAGGGGGTGGTGTGTCATTGTCCCAGGTCAGTGGGTGGGGGCTCGAGTCGGTTTTGTGTTGTATTGTTGAAAAGGAACCCCTAGATACTGAACCCGGCCCTTGTTGCTGCTGGCTCCATCTGGCAGAAGGGTTACACTTAAAAACGAAAGATGAAACTCCCTTTTACATTCCTTGCTCCTGCAAATCATGGGGACCCAATGAATGGCTCTAACCACCAATACTGTGATGTATGAGTTGTGGCAGAAACAAAAGCACCCAAAACACAAAACATCTAGTCTCATGGGGATTCTAGAGTTTGTGTCCGGAAGCCAAAATTCACCCCTAAGTTGCCAATTTGGATGGCCTATGGTGGATGCACTCCCTCAATCAAAGGGCTGATATGACCTCAGCCTTCTCTGGCTGCTTTCCCCCAACCCACCACTATCACCTCACCAGGGATGTGGTGTTTTCTCCACCAGTTGACGTCTTTAAAGCAAGATTGGGTTTCTCTTTCTAAAAGATGTGCTCTACCTCAACCTGAAGTGGTGGCCTTGATGCCTGGATTACTAGGTAAAATTCTACAGCCTGTGTCAGGCAGGACTATCTTACCATAATGGCCTCTTCTGGCTTAAATCTATGAAAACCTCAGTCACATCTGGATTGAGCTCCAGAGAACTTGCTTTCACTCCTGCTCCAGTCTGCACCAGGCACTGGCTATGGCACTGAACCAATCACACGAGACACAGGTGGGAGAATTTTTCAGTGACATTTTTCACCAACTCCGCTGGGTTTTTTTCACAATGCAGGAATCTTGTTAATGTTGACAAAATGGCTGGTTTTGTAACAAAACCTGTTCAAATGGGATTGCTCACAAGTGATGAATGTCGAGCCAGATTCGCTCCCAGACAGGTTCCTTTTCAAGTGGGGAAAAATCCCCTGAGCTGTGATTCATTCTGCAGTTCCCTGGGGATGCTTTTCACTCTAATGGCTGATGCACCACCCAGGGGCCAGAAGAACTCACAGGAAAATCCAAAGGAGGAGACAGGAAGCTGGCAACCTACTCACATGTATCTCAGCTCTGACTCTCTTCTCACCAGGACCTCTCTGATCCTCTCGATTTTAAAGAGCTCCCCTTCTATGTCACCCACGGTTGTAGTTGAATCAGCCATGGAAACAATTTCTTCTGCAAATGAAACATGAAATGAATTGAGTTAGAAAGCAGGAGACAAGAAATACAAGTGACTTGTTGATCTAGGGGGTTGATGCTTGCTTTGGATGCACAAGGGTTTCTTGTTCAAATCCCAGAAAAGCCCTTGCAAAGACATGGAGAAAGTTAAGGGGCCACTTGATCACAGTCTGTAAGTACCTGCATGGGGAAGAAATATTTGAAAATGGGCTCTTCAATCTAGCAGACAAAGGTAAAATCAGATCCAGTGGCTGGAAGTTGAAGCAAGACAAATTCTAACTGGAAATGAGGTGCATTTTTTTTACAGGGAGGGTAATTAACCTTTGGAACAACGTACTGAGGGTCGTGGTAGAGTCTCCATCACTGACAAGTTTTAAATCCAGATTGGCTGTGTTGCTAAAAGATCTGCTCTAGTTCAAACAGGAATTAATTCAGGGAAGTTCTCTGGCCTGTGCTACACAGGAGGTCAGACTAGATGATCACAATGGTCCCTTCTGGCCGTATCGTCTATGAACCTATAGATCTATGAAAACAACTCATGGAGAGACTGGGTCAGACGTTGATCCCAGGACACCCAAGTACAGGCTCGATCCTGCAAAGTGCAGCGTACTCTTGCCCAAGCCAGCAAAGCACACGTACGCACATGCTGACTTCAAGCTCATTGGGCCCGATTCTCAATGATGCTAAGGCCCCTTTGCAACGTTCTGTGATGTCAATAGCATATATTGCCATGGGAAGCCCCCTTTACCCTGGCAGAGTGTTGCAAAGGAGACCAACCCTGGCTTCGCACCAGTTTTTAAATGGCGAAGTGACATTCAGTCAACTTGACCCCAGTGCAGGGGAAGGCACACAGGTAAACAGCCCAGCCGGTCCTGGCCTCATGCAAAGCAGTGTGGGATAGCAGTGGGAGGACTGCGAAGCGAGCATGAACAAGCAGTGTGTGCAAACAAACATGAGTCTGCACTAACTCAGCACACAACGAATTTTCTACACTTTTAAAGTGGACTAAAGAAGGCGTATCAGCTGGCCAGTTAGTGCACAATAAACCCCCTGTGTAAACAAGCCCTTAGTGTAACTGAGAATCCAGCCCATTGCTTTCAGTGGAGCTCTTTATGGCTTCAGATTCATTGCTGGATTGGAGCAAGAGAGTTCTGCAGCTTGCAAGCCAGAGTCCTAAATCTGGTGCTACTTCAGTGATGCCACTCTAGATCGTGATCAGCTTCAGGATCAACGTACCCATGGAAAGCTGCTGGGCGGCTGGATTTCTCCTTTATTTCTATTTCCTGGACTTTGCCTGATGTTCCCCTCATTGGAACGGTTCTGCTCAGCACCCGCATTACCATCAAGGCTGGCTCAGGTAGCTATTCTCTCCTCCTAACTAGCATGCAATATGCATGAAGGGCCCACTGCAACAGAACGCTTCTGAAGCAGGCAAGCCAGAGAGGCCCAGCATTAAGTAAGCTCTGTCATTTCCCCTTCTTTCATTAGATTCGCTAATTATTCTTTCAAAGCCAATGAGTCACCAGACTTTATTCTGACGATAAATACTAGAAACATCAGAGACCTCATCCTCCATAAAGCAGCAAGAGAATAAATGAGATAAAAACTGCTGGAGGGGGAAAATGAATTTGCATCTCTGAGTCTTCTGATAATTCAAAGGTGCTTGTGTTTTGCCTGCTCGAGATAAGGCAGGCGCATAGACCATGTTTTTTGCCATGAAACATGGCAAGAGCAGGGACACACCCCGCCTTCAGTTATCTGCTTAGATCACTGTTAGGGCATGAGGAGCGTTTGAGCAGCTGTATACGCAGCATAAAGTTTAGAGAGGGACAACATGAAGAGTTACTTACTGTTCCAAGGACTAAACCTACAAGTCAAGGTGAAAAACATCTGCACATTGCAAGACCCTCCCTCCAGTTTAAAGGTCTACATCAGTTGTGCATTGTTTGTTATGTACATGTCGTTCTATTCAACATGCTGTTTTTACATGGGAACATAGGGACTGCCAGATTGGATCACACCCACAGACCAGTGAATCCAGTGACTGACAGTGGCCAGCACCAGATGCCTAAGTGATGGGCCCAGCCCAAGATCCTAGCTCCAACCCCTCCCCACACCCCCAAACCCCTTCCTTCTGGACTTCGCTAGGTCTGAACTCCACATCTTGGGCCCATCTCTAGTGACAAGTGGTCTCCTAAGGCCAGGGTAGGGATGTGGTGAAGAGTCACCACAGGTTTCACTGTTGCAGCATTGCTCAGCTCCAGAGCGCAGCTCAGAGCCCTGGCTGGGTCTCCTCATTCCCGGCTGTCAAGCGCCTTGTGACCCCTCTAAGAAAACCAAAAGCCCTTTCCCTCTATTTGTCTCCAAAGTGCTCAGCCCCTGAGTGGAGACCTGAAAGGCTTTTACCTGCCAGGATCTGAGCCAGAATCAGTTGGTGCCATCGCTAACCCTCAGCCCCCAGTGCAGGGTGCTGCTGCCTTCCTCACAGAGAGGAATCTGCACTGATTAAACTTTCCCCCAACCCACTGCCGTTTTGTGCTCTGGCTGGAGAGGGGCCTGGGCCTGCCAATAGGGATGCTTACATAACCCAGCCTCCCACTGTGTTCCTCCAATCTCGCCTCCTAACAGCGCCCCGCCAAGGGCGCAGCTAGCTGGAATCTGCCATTCCAGGACAGGAGGGCCATCGGGTGCCTGGTGGAGACTCCCTCCCAGCCATCTTGCAGGCCCAGACCTCAACTGTTGGACAATTTATATTCTGCATGAATCAAAATCTCTGTCCCTCCCTGGGGACTCCGCTGAACAGGGGATGCAGAAACGGTCTGGCTATGGGCGGACACCACAGCTGTATGAAGTACTCCTGGGGGAATTCTGCACCACTGCGCAAATGCAGAATACATGTCCCCTGCAGAATTTTTTTTCTCTGCAGAAAATACATTCTGCCAGAGAGGTGCTGCAGTTACGCCTTTTTCCCACTAGAGGATTCTGTGGTGCCAGAACAGAGGGAAGCCACTCCTGGGTGGGAGCAGCAAGCTGCAGATAGGGAGGAGGAGAGGCTATGTACCCCACAGCACCCTGTCCATGGGGCAAGTGAGGAGGCACGGGATATGGGGGGGACGGACAGCGTGGGGCACACAGGGCTTCTGGAGGGCACACAGACTGTGGTTCAGAAGAGTTAGTGGGGAGGACAGACTGGATCAGGGGCTGAATGGGAGTGGGGGTGCAGGGACATATGGGGAAAGGGGATGATGGTGGCTGAGTGGGTGTGCAGGGCCTCTTGGAAACAGGGCAGATGTGCCTGACTGAATGGGAGAGGCTAGAGGATCAGCCAGTGTCCGAATGGGGGAGGCTCCCCAACTCCCTAACAATCCCTCCTCCTCTCAAAAAACAAACAAACAAAAACCTGTTCCATACTTCTCCCATCAACACCCAACAACCCTCCAGGTTCACTCCTAGCCTGCTTCTCAGCAATTACTTCCCTCTCCCTCAGCTCCTCTGTTACCCCTGACTTCCCCAGTTCTTTGCACTGCTTCTGTATTGCAGTTTAAATGAATTATTACTCAAAGTTCTGTATTAATTCCTAGTAAGGAATCTATTAATCAAAAACATTTTCTGAATCCTTTTTGGGGGGGTCTGTCTTGTTACAAACAGACTTGCTGACAGGTATTTTGAAACAAATTACCAAAATAACTGAAGCTGGCTTGATTATATTGTGTTATTTTGACAAATAAACTGTGCAGAATTTTAAAATATTGTGCACAGAATTTTTAATTTTTTGGTGCAGAATTCCCCCAGGAGTAACGAAGAAAGCTGGAGCGGATCTGCCCTAGCAACATTCCTGCAGAACAGGTTAGTAACTTTCATTATCTGACATTTATCAACTAAATCCTCGTGCTGTGCATGAGATCGCAGCCAGGGGGTCCATTAAACCTGGCTTGCACTCTCTCCCCATCTGTTTGTTTTGCTGCAAAGTGGCAAAAAAACAACCAACCATCCCACCAGAGCCAACCCCCTTTGATGAAGTTTTGATTCACTGTGTTCAAGAACCATAATTCAGGAACCAGTATCTTGGCAGTGCACGGTGCACAAGATAAAATATATCAAGGGTTCAGGCAGGGTCAGAACAGCAAAGCTACAGTGTATTGCAGTGTCTTGGCTTTGTAAGTGAGAATGAGTGATGTTGCCCTCTGGTGCTTGAGGCAGACAGACTAAAGCACCTGTTTCTACAGCCAGCTAAAGGAGTGCTGGCATGGGAAAGGCTTGATTTGTCAGAGCTTCAGGACAACGGTTCTAGTGTCATATCCCCATGTATGTAAGCTCTATGGTGATAAGTCTGTTGCCTGCAACACTGGGTATATAGACACTGCAATGAAAGACCTGTGGCTGGCCTAGGTCAGCTGGTTAGGGCTTGGGCTACAGGGCTAAAAGTAGCAGTGTAGATGTTGAAGTCCAGGCTCTGAGACCCTGTGAAGGGGGGTGGTCTCAGAGCCCAAACATTGACACTGCAATTTTTAGCTGGAGTCAGCTGAGCTGGGCTCTGAGACTTAGTGCTGTGGGGTTTTATTGCAGTGCAGATAGATCCACTGAGATCAGCCAGTCCCCTGGTTCTTCAAAGTTTTCTCACAGCCCTAATATATCAGCAGCCTCATTATAATTCACCTTCATTATCAGAAAATCTAAATGAGACTGGTGAGTGGCTAGGAAACAGCTGTCTCCTCCTGGGACAAAAGGGCACCAACACGATGCTAGCTCTCCCTTGGGGACCACGGAAATGAATCCTTATTTGAATTGCAGGAGCGACTAGCAGCCCCAATCAGAGCACCATTGTGCTAGGCGCTGTACAAACATAACAGAAAGGCTATTCCTTCCCTGAAAAGCCTATAATCTGATACTTCATACGGTTCATCCAAGGTTCTCAAAGCACTTTATAAACATTCGTTGAGCCTCACGGCGCTCCTCTGGGATATGTGCGTTTTATTATTCACATTTCCCGGGGAGTG